AACTGTACACAATACTCCAACAATGGCTGAACCAGAGTCGTGTACAGCTCTTCTTATAATCTATGTCATGATTGATAAAGGCAAATGTCCCATTGCCTTAATTACCCTATTAACCTGTCCTGCCACTTTCAAGAATCTGTGGCTGAATATCCCAAGATCCCACTTGTTCCTCTGAGCTCCCTAGTGTTCTGCCATTCGTTGAGTACTCCCTTACCTTATTACTGGATAGAGTGGACATGAAGATGATATTTCCACTAGGAGAGACTAGGACTCAAGGGAACAGCCCTAGTGGGAAGAGACAACCCTTTACAACTGAGATGAGAAGGACTGTCTTCAGCCAGATGTTGCTAAGCTGTAGAGCTCATTGCCATAGAGGGTTGTGGCGGCTCATTGAGTGTATTTAATACCAATATACAAAGCTTCTTGATTGGTTAGGGGATCAAGGGCTATGGGGAGCAGGCAGGAGAATGTGATTGAGAAACCTATCTGCCATGATCAAATGGTGAAACAGACCCGATGGCTGAATGGCTTAATTCTCCTATGTCTTATGGTCTTACTTCTTCAAAAGTGCATCACTTCACTCTTATCAGAGTTAAAGGCCATCTGCCATTGATCTGCCCATCTGATCAATCCATCTATACCCTCCTGTAACCTAAGACCTCCTGCACTGTCAACAACACAGCCAATCTTCATGTCATACATAAGCATACTTATCAACCAACACCCCCACTCCACCACAATATGGACCCAGCACTGATAGATCCATGTGGTATGCCACTGGACACCGGCCTCCAGTCACAAAAACAGCTTTCTACCACCACCCTCAATCTTCTACCATAAAGCCAATTGTGGATTCAACTTGTCAAGTGATCCTGGATCTCACACATTTTTAACTTCTCTATCAGTCTCCCATGTGGGACCTTGTCAAAGATTTTGATGAAATCCATATGAAACACATCAACTACACTACCTTCATCTACACACCTAGTCACCTGTTGAAAAAATACAAATTTGTTAGCCATGACCACCTTCTGACAATGACAAGCTGACTATCCCTGATCATATGTTGCTTTTCCAAGTAGAGTTAAATACTGTCCTTCAGCATTTTCTCCAATAGTTTCCATACCACTGGTCTGTAATTCCTTGGTTTATTTCTATCCCTTCTTGAAAAGTGGAACCAGATTAGAAGTCCTTCAGTCCTCTGGCACCTTCCCTGTGGTTGGAGAGAAATTAAAAATTTTGGTCAGAACCTCTGTACTTTCCTCCCTCATCTCCCACAACAGCCTGGGATACAATTTGTCTGGATTTGGGCATTTGGCTATTTTTAAGACTGCCAAATCCTCCAGTACCTCCTCACTTCCTATGTTTGACTGCTCAAGAACCTCACAATCCCTCTTCCTGAATTCTGTATCCGACATCCTTCATCTCAAAAAGTCAGATGCAAAGTACTCATTTACCACCCTAACCATGTCTGCTAGCTGCATGCACAGGTTCTTTCATCCTTAAATGCTCTTCTATTGCCACTGTGAACACCTGTCCACCTTGTTCCCCAGAATTGGGTCCAGGATTGCACCGTCCCTTGTTGGGGCTTCTACAAGTTGATATATAAAACTCTCATGAATATATTCATGAAGTCTGCGCCTTCTATACTCTTTGTACTATGATTATCTCAATTAATGTTAGGGAAGTTGAAATCCCCTAATATAATTATCCCTTTTATTTTCCCGCCTCAATGAATTAAGGAAGGCCAATTTTGACAGTACAAGGCAAGAATTTTCAAAAGTTGATGCGGGGGGATGTGCATATTCGCAGGTAAAGGGGCGGTTGGAAAAGGGGAAGCATTCAAAAATGAGTTAATTAGAGTCCAGAGACACTGTGCTCCTATTAGGGCAAAGGGCAAAGCTGGTAGGTGTAGGGAATGCTGGATGACAAGAGAAATTGAGGTTTTGGTCAAGAAGGAGGAGGAGGCAAATGTCAGGCTTAGACAGCAAGGATCAAGCGAATCTCCAGACGAGTATACATATGAGGGAAATCAGGAGACAAAAAGGGGGCATGAGATAGCATTGGCAAATAGAATTGAGGAGAATCCAAAGAGATTTTATAAATACATTAATGACAAAAGGGTAACTAGGGAGAGAATAGAGCCCCTTAAAGATCAGCAAGGCCACCTATGTGTAGAGCCATAGGGGATGGGGGAGATACTAAATGAGTATTTTGCATCAATGTTTACTGTGGAGAAGGATATGGGAGATACAGAATGTGGGTAAGTAAATAGTGGCATCTTGAAAAATGTCCATATTACAGAGGAGGACGTGCTGGACAGCTTAAAATGCATAAAAATGAATACATCCCTGGGACCTGATCAGGTGTACCTTAGAACTCTGTGGGAAGCTAGGGAAGTCATTGCTGGGTCCCTTGCTGAGATATTTGTATTGATAGCCACAGGTGAGGTGCCAGAAGACTGAGATTGGCTAATGTGGTGCCACTATTTAAGAAAGGTGGTAAGGAAAAGCCAGGGAACTATACACTGGTGAGCCTGACATCGGTGGTGGGCAAGCTATTGGAGGGAATCTGAGGGACAGGACTTACATGTATTTGGAAAGGCAAGGACTGATTAAGGGTAGTCAACATGACTTTGTACAAGGGAAATTATGTCTCACGAACCTCATTGAGTTTTTGAGGAAGTAACAAAAGGATTGTTGAGGGCAGACCAGCGGATGTGATCTACATGGACTTCAGTAAGGCATTCAACAAGGTTCTTAATTGTGGACTGGTTAACAAAGTTAGATCACATGGAATACAGGAGAACTATCCATCTGGATACAGAACTGGCTCAAATGTAGAAGATAGAGGGTGGTGATGGAGGATTGCTTTTCAGACGGGAGGCCTGTGACCAGCCCGGTGTGCCACAAGGATCGGTGCTGACTCCACTGCTTTTTGTCACTTATATAAATGATTTGGATGTGAACATAGCAGGTATGGTTAATAAGTTTGCAGATGACACCAAAATTGGAGGTGTAGTGGACAGTAAAGAAGGTTACCTCAGAGTACGACAGGATCTTGATCAGAAGGCCGATGGGCCAAGGAGTGGCAGATGGAGTTTAATTTAGATAAATGTGAGGTGCTGCATTTTGAAAAAGCAAATCAGGGCAGGACTTATACACCTAATGGTAAGGTCCTGGGAAGTGTGGTTGAACAAAGACATTGGAGTGCAGAAACACCATTCCTTGAAAGTGGAGTCACAGGTATTTAGGATCCTGAAGGCGGCGTTTGGTATGCTTGCCTTTACTGGTCAATGCATTGAGCATAGGAGTTGGAAGGTCATGTTGTGGCTGTACAGGGCATTGGTTAGGCCACTTTAGGAATACTGTGTGCAGTTCTGGCTTTCCTGCTATAGGAAGGATGTTGTGAAACTTGAAAGGGTTTAGAAAAGATTTACAAGGATGTTTCCAAGGTTAGAAAGTTTGAGCTCCTTGGAGAGGCTTAATAGGCCAGGGCTATTTCCCCTGGAGTGTCAGAGGCTGAGCGTGAACTTACAGTGGTTTTTAATTCATGAGGGGTATGGATAGGGTAAATAGTCATGGTGGAGTAGTTCAAAGCTAGAGGGCATAGCTTTAAGGCAAGAGGGGAAAGATTTAAAAGGGACCCAAGAGGCAACGTTTTCACACACAGGGTGGTGCTTATATGGAATGAGCTGCCAGAGGAAGTGGTGGAGGCTGGTGGTACAATTACAACATTTAAAAGGCAGCTGGATGGGTGTAGGAATAGGAAGGGTTTAGAGGGATACGGGCCAAATTCTGGCAAACTGGACTAGATTTATCTGGTTGGCCTGGTGGTGCTGTAAGTAATGAAGAGCTGCCAGGTACCAACTGGAACTCTTAAAAGATAGGATCTCTGCTCTGAAGACTCGTGAACACCAACACTGACCAGGTAGATGTCTGATGAGCTTTTAATTGCATCAGAGCAGCTAGGATTGGCCATGGCAATGTTGCCAGTAACTCTTGAGCTGGGGGATGGGCCCCATTAAATTAAGCTCAGTGCGAAGGTAAAATGGAACAAGGACGAAAAGTACCTCTCAGCTGGACAGAGGATCACTAATGAGGGACTTCATAATCTAATGTGACTAAACTATAAATAGGTTGGAGTATAATGCTCAAAATCAATGCTATGTTAGAAGCAAAATCTAATTGGAAGAATTTAAAATAGAGTTGCAGGATAGCCAATCATAGATGTAGGAGGAAACAACATAGTTAAATAGCCTGGAGGAGCAAGGGTAGTCACAGATGGAGATAATTGTTTGCAAGTACAGGAGGGTCTTTCTTATGATGAGGACTGATGGCAGAAAATTTGACAGGGAACATTAAGTGATTATCAGCTAGCATTGGCCCAATAATGGTACAAAAAAGGTTCGCAATTTTAACAATTTCTGGAAATAATAGGTATTTATCATTGCAGCTGGTGATCTTTGGTGGAGCTTTATTTGTCTGGGTAATGTTGGGCAGGATACTTAATGGGCTCAGCATTAGAATCACTAAGCTTTGTAATACACAAGTTACTTGGATTAAACTATTCAACACAATGATCAGATTTAGATTATATCAAAACGGAAGGGACTATAGATTTGGAGAAGGAAGATTTAAAACAGCAGAACAATGTGGATAAATTATGTAAGTATACAGAATAGCAGGCTAAGTTAAAGCATAAATTGGTCCAAGCACAAAGCAGAAGACGGATGAGATATCTAATCTGTGAATGTTGCTGTCATAGCTAAACTGAAAGAGACCAAGGACTCTCATAGTAGGGTCACTAAATGCCTAATTTGTCACTGTGTCCAACAAGGAAAAGTGGCAATTAAAAAGTTGAACTAATTAGATAAAATAGAAACATTAAAAGCAGAAGAAGCTGTTAACTTTAAAATACTCAAAGCACGTGTCAACTACAGCACTTGGTTTTGGTTGCCAAGATACAATGTTGACATTCAAGGTCCGGAGGCATTGGAGAAAAATCAAGATCATGGTTTATTTGTAACACAACTCCATACAACCTTCTTTGCCTCAAATCCCTTAATTAGTTTGGGTAACAAAAATCTACCCCAATCTCAGATTTAAATTTAACAAACCTTCCAGCACCAATTGCTGTTTGTGGTAGAGTTCCAAATTCTATCACTCTTGGTGTGTATGTGTATTTTCATTATTGAAAGGCCAGACCTTTTTTTTAAACTGTGAGATATAGTCTAAGACTCTTCAAATACAGAAATAATTCCTCTCTCTCTACCCAAACTGCTCCACTTGATAACTTGAAAAGGTAATCAGTCTAATTAGAACATGTAAATACAGTGTAATACTCAAAATCATCTCAGTTAAGACAAGGAGATTTAAGGTCATTAAAAGCAAACAATGCATACATCAGTTACGATTATAAAAAATATTAATATGCCCACAGCATTTTGAAAATCTAAAAATGGAAGTTTTGGGTCAAGGGATGGCAATTCATTCCGTTGAACCTGCTGTACCATTTGCTGAGGTCATGGCTAAACTTCTGCCTCAATTCTATTTTCCTATATTTTTCCAAAGCCTTTCAACCCCTCGGTACCTAAATGCTCAACTGAGCCTTGAACATACACAACAACTGAGGATTTCCATCTCCCTTAGATAAATAATTCCAAAGATTCATAGTCATTTGAGTGAGAATTTTTTTTTTATCATTTGAGTCATAAGTTGTTGACACTTATTCTGAGACCATGTCCCCCAGATCTAGGTGTCCCAGCCAGGCAATACATTCTCCTAGGATCTATCCAGTCAAACCTTTTAAACAGTTTCTATATTTCAATCAGATGAGCACTCATTCATGTAAAATTTAGAGAATTCAATCTTTGTCCTTTAGGGAGAAATTAAGTAGACAGTTCATCTTAGCAGTCAGTCTAGTGAATCTTGGTTACAACCATTTCTAAGGCAAATATATTCTTTATTCAAGGGGACCAAAACTGCACAAAATACTTCAAGTGTGATCAAGGTTCTGTGTAATTGCAGTATTTTTTTGTTACTGTTTTATTCCAACACCTTTATAATTAGGGCCAACATACTGTCTTGATTCTTAATGAACTGCAAGTTAACTTTCAGATTTGTGTACAAGGCCACTCATTTCCATCTGATTACCAACACTAAAAATATATTCTGCTTTTCTACTTTCCCAAAGTGAATAATTTCCCACTTCTCCACATTATATTCCATTGTTATGTTATTCTCCATCTCATTTAATCTATTCATACCCTATTGCAAACTTTTTCATTCCCCTCACAGCTTATCTTTCCTCCTGCCTTTGTATTATCTGCAAACTACTATATATTATGCTCAATGCTCCGAGTCCTTCTATATAATCTGTTCAACACTGCAACTATCATTAGGGTCTCAAAACTACTTACATTCATTTTCTGACCTTTATTGTTTCTTAATTCCACCCAAATTGATTCTAGGTTTTGATGTTCCAAGATCCTTTCTCTCTACTGTGGTTTCAACCCCTCCCTTCATTGTCAGGGGTAACCCTCCACCTTTTCCATTTTGCCTAATTCTTTCAAAAGTCATGACTCCTGAACTATATAGTTCCCAATTTTGGTCACTTTATATCATAGCTCAGTAAATGTTTGCTATGTCAAAACCATTTATTCGTTTCTAATTGGAAGTACATGGTTAGGATGTATATTTATGAAATACACTAATGATATCCAGAGGCACAGATCTTCTTTATCATTACATTGATGAGTTGGAAAAACAGAAATGTTTTAACTCTTTCTAATTGAAATTAAAGCTATTAATGCATGAATGCAAGACTAAAATCAGAGGTCCCAACCAGATGAAAGCAAAGTCTTGCGGTTGCTGGAGATCTGAAATAAAAACAAAAAATGTTGGAGAAACTCAGCAGGTCTGGCAAGAGCTGTGAAGAGAGAGAAACATTCAACCTCCCAACTCCCTACCAAAATATTTGTATGATGGACTGTTACCATCTTGGAAAGCATTTGAAATTCCTTTGAATTTCAAGCTTGGTTACACGTTTTCCATAGTCTTTATTCTTTGATCCTTAATTTTGATTTCTATCCATTGTGTCTTGTATGCCTATGAAACTATTGTTTGTTATTACTTTATTTTGCGTGAATCACAACATTGAGTATTACTGGTGCAACCATCTGATACACTGTCAATCAACATAATATTCTGAATTAATTTGCTCTTCAAAAGTAATTTTTAGTTAATTATATCCCGGTAAAGGTAGATTTTGACCATCCTTTGCCTCAAAGAATGTGTAAGAGAGAGTGATTGTGTCTACTCGTGCCATTCCTGGATCTTCTGCAAATTCAGGGTCAATATAAAAAAAAACTGGCATGTCCACTTCTTCATGGGGATTCAGCCGTTGCTCCTCAAAACAGAAACACTGAAAGAGGCAGTGTACATGTAAGTTAGTAGATCTATTACCAGCATACATTAGATCAAACATACAGAGGAGAAAATCGATTCTACTACCATTAGCTCCACCTCTTAAGTTCATGTCTTCACCCTCAATTAATCAATTTTAGTTCATGCTTTGGTAAGAATACCGAAACAGGGAATGAAAAACGTCAAATATTGTGAAATAGTACCACAAATTGTCATAATGGATGCTGCTTGATGAATCATCGAAAGACAACATTTGTTTCTCTCTGTACAGCTCTCTGATCAAACTAGAACTGGATCATTGAGCCTAGTTCAGAATCACAGAGATGGAGAGACTTTTGAGATCTGGAGAATACGCAAAGAAGAGATACAACATTAATTTTTAGTGTCGAAGGACCAACCTACAAGTTAGGTTTTTCAACCTCAACAGGAAGTAACTGAGCAGGGACCTAAACATGCTAAAACAAGAGGTAAATCGATACATTTACATCAAATTAAATCAGAGGTATAATAATGACAAGTTTAAATGAGGGAAAAAAAAACTCTGAACTAATTTCAGGAAGCCAGTCTTCAAATGAGGTGTGATCAATTTGTAGAAAATACTTCCAGGTCTGGTGGTCGCAGGAACAAAATGAAAATTATTCACAAACATTAGATGCTGCACTTTGGAAACGCAAGCCATAGTGGGAAAGGGCATATTTTCTCCATCGAAAGGGTGAATGGCCTTCCTCATCCTCAACTATCTTATAAATTACAACAACGTATTCAAGCTCTAAAACTGAGCAGAGCTAATTGTAATAAAAACTTATTGTTCCATTTGATGACACTGCAATAATAAAGTTCTGAAACTACAAAAACAAGAAGATCAGTTCTACAGGCTATAATCCACACAAATTATTGTTCAGATTCAAAGCATGGTGAATTCTCTTTAATATTTTACTGCTATTATGTATCAGAAGAACACAAGGGGTGATTTTTTTTTTGTGCTCAAGATATTGCATGTACCATTCCATGTAATGCATGACCTGCAAAGCTTTTTTTTAAATTAGAGTGTGATTTAAGGAAATAGAAAAGCACTACTTAAAACAAGACTTAAAAAGAATGCTGAACTACCATGCTGGGTGTCCTCACTTTTTGCTTACTCCAATGATGTCAGTGAGTGGGAGGAGTCCTTGTGCTTAGGATGACTCAAGTGATTGCAATGGGTATAGTAAATGTAGACTGAATAGAAGCAGACCCAGTACCACTTGGCCCTGGGGAAAATGTCATCCCAATTAGATTTGTAAAATGGCTAACTAGCAGCATGTTGTGCAGGGCCAGATTGTTGCAGACTTGCTCCCAGGCTGAACCAAAGCTGTAGCTACTGTTGAAGTTAATTAATGTAAATATACTCAACAAGATGGACAGTTTGCTTTGAATAAGTGTTCCACAGACTTTAAGATACCATATCTTGTTGAAACTAACTGACCAAACTGTAACTCTAGGTCTGAGGATTTAAGGCAAGAGCTTCAACAAAATCCACAAACCACAAAAACTATTTGCATTTCTCCAGTGTCTTCAATATTAAACACTGTTCTAAGACAAACAAGCAACTCCTGGAAATGTGTCAGTATTTGCACAGGGTCTTTGAGTTTGCAGCAACTAAATCCACACAATGACATAAATAGTACTGCCTTAGGAAAATAAAAATGCATTTGTAATCACAGTAGTTAAAATCTGAAGGTTACATGAAAAAGTGTTTAAAAAGTCTTTTACTTCATGCATGTGACTAATTTTTTCCATACCTGTATTTTGTTGAAATACTGTCCTGCATCGAATGGTACTACATTGTAAGTAGAAATTCCAATGACTGGTTTGTCAGTAGGATTTTTTGCTTTATAGAATGCCAAAGCTGTTTCTCCAGGAACAACCTGGAATGAGATTAAAACAAAGATAACATTCTTACTTAACATAACTTGCTTACTCATTAGTACTATTGCACCAGCATTAATAATAAGAAATCATGAGATACGACAAACATATCAGCCATTAAATAGAGTTATGGGCCATATTATAAAACAATGCTACCTTGACAACGTAACAGGAATTTAAACATTTCTTTTTGTATTTCACAAACTGTGGCAAAAGACAGTGTGTAAAACATTTGCACAAGATCCCTGTATGCCCATGGATCTCTGAATGGATTTAAGAGTCTCTCAATTTGTTGATCTTATGTCTAAGACATCAAAACGTCTAGGCCTGGTCCCTTTCCTAGATGTAATTTATCTTGCTTCTTAAACACCAGAACATGCATGTAAACACACATTCATGATTCCAGTATTAATTCCTGTTAACAGTGATTTGTTCATAATTAAATATCATCCATTTTACTAATGAATCATGGTGAAGCAAAGAAATATGGCAATGCTGTGAAGAGAACTTAAGGAGGTTACAGATGCATATAAATAGGCAAAATATGGGAAAATGTAAAGTTGTTCACTTTGATAGGAAGAATAAAAACTTAGAGTACTACTGAAATGGGCAATTACTTTAGAATTTTGAGGTGCAGAGGGATCTAGGTATTCTAGTGCTTGAATCTCAAAAGGTTACAATATAGGTATACAGGTAATTAAAAATGCTAATGAAATGCGAACCTTCATTATGATTCGAATTGAGCATAAAGGAAAGGATATTACATAGGGCATTGGTGAGACCAGATTTCGAATGATGCATGAAGTTTTAGTCTTATAGTTTAAGGAAACATGTAAATTGGACCACTGGAAGCAATTTACAGGAGGTTTAAGAGATTGATCCTTGAAGCAACTGGGTTGACTTACAAACAAAAAGGTTGAACAGACTGGTTTTGCTCCCACTGAAGTTTAGATGACTAGGGGTTCGTTGGAATTTGATTCAAGTAAGAAAAGTCTTGAATGGTCTTGGCAAGGTGAAAGGTGTTTTATCTGTGGGTTAGTCCAGAACTAAGGTTCGCTGCTTAAAAATCGGTGGTTGCTCTTTTAGGATAAAGATGAGGAACATTCCTTTTCCTCTCGGAGGGCTGTGAAACTTGATCTTTCTGTCTCAGAGGCACTGTAAGAAACCACATACATTTCCTTTTTGAACTATAAACAGAAATGGAAGTTGGAGACTGCTACATAACCAAAATGCCAAGAAAGTTTTGCAACTTGAAAAATCAAGTGGTGCACATTGGTAGCTGTAAAAGACTATGTTGATTTTGGAACAATAAGATTGTTATATCATTAAGGTAGAACACTACCAGGAGTTTCTGAGTTAAGGAGAAATTTGCTATAGTTTGCTATAGACTTGAGAGCTGTACAGTCAGAAAAATCCAGAACCTGCAAATGCAAAATACTTCTCTCCTTTTTCTGTGAGTGAAAAGACAAAAGAAAATTTGAAGAAACAATTCTAGTGCAAGACAAGACCTAGGCCCATCTGATCAATCATCGAATTGAAAAACCACCACTGGTCTTTAGATAAATACAAGTCATCATTGCTATAATCCAAGGAATTGAGAAACAATTTATCCACCTCGTAGTTGAGACTCTGAGCTACAGAAAATGTTTTCCTGTCCATAATTTTCGACCCATAATACTTATCTTAAATCCTTTTGATTTTGCCTTTTGTCTATTTTGTTTGAGAGTGTGTGTTTTGCAGTTTAAAGTAGTACATTTTAAATTGCATAATTGTAGCTTAGTAATCCTCTCCTTTTCTCTGTCATTTATTAAAAGATTAGGTTTATTTACAATAAATAGATATTTTTCTGTCAATGATGAAGCCTGTTGTGAATTATTTTTGTCCTGAGTAGTGGTCAGTCAGGAAAATTTGTCATCATTGAACTTATTTGGTGTCACTGCTTGTACTACAAATTCACACTTACAAAGAACTCTACCTGTTTTAACTCACATAGATTTCAGTTTGCTGAGGTCTGAAATTCCACTGCAGACTGGCATGGACATCTGCATTGAAAGTGACTTTAATGATTCGATCCTTCACAGGTTCCATGGTTTCTACTTGATCCACATTGTGACCAGCTACTGCAGTCCCTCCCAGTCCTGTAGCCTGAAAATAGACAACCAATACTATATGTTTGACAGGAGAATGCTTCTTAAAGTTTGGAAAATTTGATATTTAAAATTTTATGCAACACATTTGACCAAACACTGATGGTTGATCTGCCAAGATGGTTTCTGAAACTAGCAATTTTTTGCTTTGGCACATAATATGAAAATACATCACAAATATATGCATTTCTAACCATTGCAACCTGAAAAACCACCTTGCCTCACTCTTGTGTGCTACCTGTTCCAATTATTTAACCTTTACCACACCACCCTCACAAAGATTATTTTTAACAAAAAAATAACATTTAATTGTGATTTTCTACCACAAATTCCATGCTAACTTTGATTTTAAACACCTAGAAATGAAATTAAATATAACAATGGATCCAACAGATATGATGTTAGCACGAACTGTAATGGGACTCCTTTATAACATCAAATTAATATCACTGCTCCACTCAGTTCCTCCATCTTTATGTTGTTATATTTATTAGTGTAATATAAGACCAAAAAGTACCAAGCACTGCATTCCAATGTTTTTTTTGATTTACTATTCTAGACTGCAGTTCCTACTAGAAGCTTACTTTAATTAGAATTTTGAATTCTGCTGAACTCTTATAAAAGGTCAACATATTAAATAATTTGCATTTCATTATTCCTCACAAGTACCGATACTGAACTCGCATGAAGCAGACCATTTTGTTTATTGTTTTAACAAAAGACATACATCAATGCAGCATCTTGCATCACAACATCAAACGATGCAGAACACAATAAATTACTTCAGGAATACTGTTCTTTTTGGAGGTAAACACAACAACCATTCTACCATGATTAGTGTCAAGAAATAAATAATTGGTGTTAGCTGCAGAAAAATGATGGCCACATTTCCAGAAGAAAAGCTGTCTTGGAATCTGATCAGGTAGAAATGATTTTTGTTTGTCATAAGTCTGCAACAGTTTACTCTTCCAGGAATTTTTCACCTTTTAGTTTTTACTTTTTCTATTTAGGAACGAAGTGTAGCTAACTAGGTCTCTAAAGAAACAAAATAGATGCAGCTGTATGGTGCAGTGGTAAGCACTGCCGCCTCACAGCACTAGGAACCCAGGTTCAATTCCAGCCTTGGGCAACAAGCTGGGTGGCGTTTGCACATTCACCCTGTGCCTGCGTGAGTTCCTCTGGTTTTCTGCCACAGTCCAAACATGCACAGGTTAGGTGGATTGCCCATAGTGTCCAGGGATGTGCAGTTCTAGGTGGATTGATAATGGGAAATGCAGGGTTACAGGTTTAGGGTAAGGGGTTAACTTTGGATGGGATACTCATTAGAGGATCGGTGTGGACTCAATGGGCTAAATGGCCTACTTCCACACTGTAGGGTTTCTATACTCTTTCTGTCTGAACTCTGTCCATGATCAACACTGCATTCGGCACCTTATACTGTTGTAGAATAATTTCTGCTAGCTCTCATGAGTCTCAGATTTGAGACCTGGCATATGTCATCCCTCAATTACATGCAGCGTTTAATTTATTTGGGGCGAGACAGGGAATTGGTCACGTGCCTGTATTTGTATTATAAGATATTTTGCACGAGAACATAAGAACTAGGAGCAGGAGGAGGGAATTCAGCCCCTCGAACCTCATAAGATCAAGTCTGATTTCATCTCAGCCTCAACTCCACTTTTCTGCGCACTCTCCATGACCCTTTAACCAATTACCAATTAAAAATCTGTCTAAGTGCTCCTTAAATTTATTCAGTAGTCCAGCATTCACCACACTCTGGGGTTGGAAATTCCAAAGATTCACCCTTTGAGAGAAGTAATTATTCCTCATGTCCGTTTTAAATCTGCCAACTCTTAGCCAAAAACTATGACCTCTCTTTCCAGTTTGGAAATATTGGCTCTATGGCTACTTTATCAGTCCCCTTTGTTACTTTACGTACCTCAATCAGATCTCACATTTCTAAACTCCAGTGACCGCAGGTCTAAGCTGCTCAACGTTTCTTAATAAGGCAAGCTCTGGAATTCATCTAGTGAATCTTTTTATACTAACAAGACTCTCACCACTCAGGGGTTTTGCAACAGTTGTTCAAGAGCAGTGTCTAATATCAGTACAGGGGCTTGGACGTGACCAGTTAGCTGCTTGGCTATTTTAATTTAAAAACAAGACATGGGGAAGTGATGGCTTAGTAGTATTACGGCTAAGATATTTTCCAGAAATACAGCTAAACTTCTGGAGAGATCTTCCATTTGAATCCCACCATGGCCAGATGGTGAAATTCTTCAGTAAAAAATATCTGGAACTAGGGATCTACTGATGACCATTAACAGTTGTCTATTGTCAGAAAAACCTCTGATTCATGAAACGTCCTCATGAAGGAAATCTGTCATCCTCATTTGGTCTGGCCTACATGCGATTCCAGACCCACGGCGATGTGATTGACTCTCAAATGCCCATTGAAATGATCCAGCAAGCCACCCAGCTCTATCAATCACTATAAAATCTCAACAAAGAAATTAAACTGGAGGGACCACTTGGAATCGACCTAGACACAGAAAAGACAATTGCAGGAACACCCCAATTAACTCTGTAAAGTCCTCCTAAAGACTAAGGCTAGTGTCAAAATAGGGAGAGTTGTCTCTCAGACTGGTCAAGCAACATAGAGTCTGTTTCCGTGACTCTTCGGTCTAATTCGTCCACGCCGACCAGATATTTTCAATTAATCTAATTCCATTTGCCAGCATTTGGCCCATATCCCTCTAAACTTGTCCTATTCAAGTACCCGTCCAGGTGCCTTTTAAATCTTGTAATTGTACCAGCCTCCACCACTTCGTATGGCAGCTCGGTCCATACATGCACGACCCTCTGTGTGAAAAAGTTGCCCCTTAGGTCCCTTTTAAATCTTTCCCTTTCACCTTAAACCTATGCCCTCTAGTTTTGAAAAACCCTACCCTGGCAATAAGACCTTGGCTATTCAACCTATCCACGCCCCTCATGATTTTATAAACCCCTATAAACTCCGCAGCCTCCAAAGCTCCAGGAAAAATAGCCCCAGCCTATTCAACTTCTCCCTGTAGCTCAAACCCTGCAGCCCCGGCAACATCATTGTAAATATTTTCTGCATTCTTTCAAGTTTAACATCTAATCTCCCTGCTATAGATAAGAATTGAATGCAGAATTCCAAAAGTGATCTATTCAATGTGCTGTGCAACCGCAACTTGGCATTCCAATTCCTACACTCAATGCATTGACCAATAAAGGCAAGGGTACCAAAGGCCTTCTATACTACCCTGTCTATCTGTGATGGCACTTTCGTGGAATTATGAACCTGCAACCCAAGGTTTCTGTTTGGCAATACTCCCCAGGACCCTACCATTTAAGTCCTGCCCTGATATGCCTTAACAAAATGCAGCACCTCACATTTATCTAAATTAAATTCCATCTACCACTCCTCAGATCAAGGTCACGTTGCACTACACCACCAATTTTGGTGTCACTGCAAACTTGCTAACCATACCTCCTATATTCACATCCAAATCATTTATATAAATGACAAAAAGCAGCGGAGCCAGCACCAAACCTTGAGGCATATCGCTGGTCACAGGCCTCCAGTCCGACAAACGACACTCCACCACCATCCTGTCTTCTACCTGCAAGCCAATTTTGTATCCAAATGGCTAGTTCTCCCTGGATTCCATGCGATCTAACCTTGCTAATCAGTCTACCATGTGGAACCTTATCGAATGCCTTGCTGAAGTCCATATAGACAACATCCACTGCTCTGCCTTCATCAATCCTCTTTGTCACTTTCTCAAAAAAGAAGTCAATCAAGTTACCCATGGAATCATGCCTTAAAGACAATTTCCCAAACATCACCATCACCATCCCTGGATATTTTCTGTCCTACCGGCAGTGCAGGACCAGTACAGGTGGAGGTACAGTGGTATACAGTTGAGAGAGATTTGCCCTGGAGTCCTCAACATTGACTCCGGACCTACGAAGTCACATGGGCAAGGAACTCTCTTATTGATCCTACCTCAACTGATAACTCAGTACTCATCCATATTGAATAACACTTGGAGGAGGCAATGAAGGTGGTAAGGGTGCAAAACATGCTGTAGGTAAGAGATTTCAATGCCCACCACCAACACTGGCTGAACAACAGCTCTGCTAATTGAGCTGGTTAAGTCCTAAAGGACACAGCTATTACAGTGAGTCCATGGCAGGTAGTGACGGAACCAACAAGAGGGAAAAACATACTTGGCCTCAAGCTTACCAATCTGTCCATGGCAGTATCGACAAGAGGGACCACTGTACAGCCCTTGTGGAGCTGAAGTCCTGCCTTCACATTGAGAATACTCTCTATCGTGTTGTGTCACACCATCACTGTTAAATGCGACACATTTCGAAACATCAAATGGATCTAGCAACTCACAACTTGGCATCCATGGAGATGCTGTGGGCCATTAATAGCAGCAGAATCCAGCATAATTTGCAATCTCATGGCCTGGCAAGTTCCCCATTACAATCAAGCAAAGCAATCAACATTGCTTTAACGGAGATTACAGGAGCACATGCCAGGAGTAGCACCAGGCGTACCTAAAAATGAGGCGTCAACCTAGTGAAGCTACCAAACAGGACCACTTGCATGTCAAACAGCATAAACAGCGCTAAGCGATCCCTTAACCAATGAATCAGATCTAAGCTCTGTAAAGTCCTGCCACATCCAGTTGGGAATGCTGATGGACAATGAAACAACTCACTGGACGATTGGAAGTACTGGATACTTCAAAGGCTGTGGGCTCTGACAATATTCCAGCAAAAGTACTGAAGAGTTGTGCTCCAGAACTTGCCATTCCCCTTGCCAAGCTGGCATCCACCTGAACATGTGGAAAATTGCCCTGGTATGTCCTGCACACAAAAAACAGGACAAATCCAACCCGGCCAATTATTGTTCCATCAGTCCACTCTCAATCATCAGTAAATTGATGGAAGGTGTCACCAACAGTGCTTTCAATGAGCACCTGCTCAGCAATAACCTGCTCAGTGATGCCGAGTTTGGGTTTTGCGAGGGCCGCTCAGCTGCAGACCTCATTACAGCCTTGATTTAAACATGGATAAAAGTGCTGAATTCCAGAGATGAGGTGAGGTGAGAGTGACACCCTTGACATCAAGGCTGCATTTGACCAAATGTGACATCAAGGAGCCCTAGCAAAATTGGAATTGACAGGTATCACAGGGCAAACTTTCCACTGGTTGGAGTCATACTTGGCACAAAGGAAGACGGTTGTGGTTCTTGGAGGTCAGTCATCTCAGTTCCAGCACATCTCTGCAGGGGAAGAAAAAACACAAGCTGCTGGAAAAGCTCAGCAGGTCTGGCAGTATTTGTGAAGAAAAATCAGAGTTAACGTTTCGGGTCCGATGACCCTTCCTCAGATCATCTCTGCAGGACTTCATCAAAGTAGTGTCCCCTAGGCCCAACTATCTTCAGCTGCTTCATCAATGACCTTCCCTCAATCATAAGGTCAGAAGTGGGGATATTCACTGATGATTGCACAACGTTCAGCATCATTCACAACTCCTCAGATACTGAAACATGTCCATGTTCAAATGCAACAAGATCTGGATAATCTCCTGGCCTGGGTTGATGGCAAATAACATTCTTACCACACAAATGCCAGGCAATTACAATAAGAGACAATCTAACACTGCCTGTTGACATTCAATGACGTTACTATCACCAAATCCCCCACAATCAAATTCCTTGGGGGTTACCACTGACCAGAAACTTAACTGGACTTGCCAGATAAACACAGTGGCTACAAGAGAAGGTCCGAGCCGAGGAATACTGCAGTGAGTAACTCACCTCCTGACTCCCCAAAGCCTGTCAACCATCTACAAGGCATAAGTCAGGATGGAATACTTCCCATTTGCTTGGATGGATGCAGATCCAATAACGCTTAAGAAGCTTGACAACATCCAGGACAAAGCAGACTGCTTGACTGGCACCACAAAGACAAGCATCTGCTCCCTCCACTACCGATGCTCAGTAACAGTTAGCAGCATGTACTGTCTGCAAAATGCACTGCAGAACTTCACCAAGGATCCTTGGAAAGTAGCTTTCAAACTCATAACCATTACCGTCTAGAAGGACAAGGGCAGCAGACACAAGGGAACACTATCACCTGCAAATTCTGTTCAAAGTCACTCATCATCCTGACTTGGAAATTATATCGTCGTTCCGTCACTGTCGCTGGTCAAAATCCTGGAATTCCGTTCCTAAGAATATTGTGGGTCAACCTATAGCAGGTGGACTGTAGTAGTTCAAGAAGGCAGTTCATCACCACTTCCTCAACGACAACTAGGGATAGGTAGTAACTTCTAGTCAGCCAGCAGAACCCATGTCTCATGAGTGAATTAATTTAAAGAAAAACAACTTTACGGTGTGAAAAACAAGTAATTTGCATTATACATTTGGCTTGGTTAAGCAGATTTCTTTTTACATTTGTTAATGTCTGCTTATCCCGTGAACTTGGGCATTAGGGACAAACAACAGATTATACTGACCTGACAATAAAGTCTGTAGAGAGGTACAGCCGCATACGACATGCCAATCATTCCAATTGCTGTAGCTGCTATATATGTGAGTACAGTTTTATTCTTCTTCCTCCACGCTTCCTCCTGGCTCCGAGTGAAGGGATTATGGTTCTTGATACCATGCTCTGGCTGTTTCAAAGTCAGATAACTTGGCCTCCGAGGAGTATACCGAATAAATACTGAATACAGTCTTTGTAAGTTAGACTGTTGTAGTCTTCGTGCACAGGTATGACAAGAAGACATGACATACGATCTTGAGATGCTTGTCCAACAGGACCAAGTCATGCTGATTATTAGTCAGACTGCCGTGTTAATGTGTAATCTTTACTTCTTTGGTGTAAATGGCAAATAGTAGTCTTCCTGCAATATCTGGAAATCAAAGCTAAAATGTTATCACATTTCCCTTTATTGGTGAGCACATTATACATGTATCATAGCCTACAGAAAGGGATTATGTTCTTTTTGGACCCAAAAATTTGTTCAATGTTGCATGTGTTAAGTTGGATGAAATGTTTTCCCCTAAAAAAAACCTCATAAATTGGAACTGTAAGGGGATAATATTGTGTGTTGCATAAACCTACAAATTATTTGCGTAAGGTTAATAAAATCTTAGAATGAGTTAAGCAAATACATAGAAAGAAGTAAAGAATTTAGATTAATGTTTAGATTAATGAGTTAGATTAGGTAGATTAATGGGTAGGATTACATGCAAGGTCAAAACATTGATGTGTAAAGCACACACAATCCTGCAGAGTTAATGTTTCGGGTTCTTTCTAAGTTGTGAAAAATATTAACTCTGCTTTTTACCAACAGATGCTGGCAGCCTGCTGAGTTTCTCCAGTAATTTATGCTATTGGTTCTTGCTTATAAATCTGTTTTGTTAACATCAGAATACCTCAAAACACTTTACAGCTAACAAAGTCATAATAAAGTCTAGGTACTTCTATTGGGTAGAAAAACCCCACAACCATTCTGTACATAGCATGCTCTGTAAAGTAATAACACTTGGCTCTCTGGCAGAAAGCAGAGATTGGGGTTAAAAAGTTAGCAGCTGGTGACAAGTGGCAATCCACAAGGGTCAGTGTTGGGACCACAACTTTTCATTTTTGCATTAATGATCTAGATGAAGGAACTGAGGGCATTCTGGCTAAGTTTGCAGATGATACAAAGATAGGTAGAGGGACAGGTAGTATTGAGGAGGTGGAGAGGCTGCAGAAGGATTTGGAAACGTTAGGAGAGTTGGCAAAGAAGTGGCAGATGGAGTACAATGTGGGAAAGTATGAGGTCATGCACTTTGGTAAGAAGAATAGAAGCATGGACTATTTTCTAAATGGGGACAAAATTCAGAAGTCTGAAGTGCAAAGAGACTTGGGAGTTCTAGTCCAGGATTCTCTCAAGGTAAACCTGCAGGTTGAGTCAGTAATTAGGAATGCAAATGCAACTTTGGCATTTATTTTGAGAGGACTTGAATACACAAGCAGGGCTGTACTTCTGAGACTCTATAAGGCTCTGGTCAGGCCAAATTTGGAGTATTGTGCACAGTTTTGGGCCCCATATCTCAGGAAAGATGTACTCGCCCTGGAGCACGTTCACAGGAGGTTCAGTAGAATGGTCCCAGGAATGAAAAGGTTAACATACGAGCAACGTTTGAGGGCTCTGAGTCTATACTCAATGGAGTTTAGAAGGATTGGCGGGTGGGGGTGGAGGATCTAATTGAAACTTACCAAATACTGAATGGCCTGGACAGTACAGATGTTGGGAAGATGTTTCCATTGGTAGGAGAGACTAGGACCCAAGGGCACAGCCTTAGAGTAAAGGGCAGACCTTTTAGATCAGAGATAAGGAGAAACTTCTTCAGCCAGAGAGTGGTGAATCTAAGGAATTCACTGCCACAGAAGGCTGTGGAGGCCAGGTCATTGAGTATATTTAAGACAGAGATAGATAGGTTCTTGACTGTCAAGGGGATCAAGGATTATGGGGAAAAAGCAGGAGAATGGGGTTGAGAAACTTAATCAGCTATTATTTGAGTGGTGGAGCAGACTCGATGGGCTGAATAGCCTAATTTCTGCTCCTATATCTTATGGTTTTAACAAAGTGCTGGAGAAGCTCAGTGGGTTTGGCAGCTGTGAGACAGAGTGTTAACATTACGAGACAAATATGACTTCTTCAGAGAAGCTCCTTTAGTAACGTGATACTGGAGAATCTGTTTTTCTGGTGTTACGGGAGGGAGTAAGTATTAACTGAACAGGCTAGGAAGTAAGAACACCCTTCAAGCTTTCCGGGAAAAAAAAACTGCTCTAGGACTGTCTACATTCACTGAGAAAGCTGTTTAACATCTCATCCGAAAACCACGAGGGGCATTGCAGTTGTATAACTAACTTGGAGACGGGCCTGACTAACTCGATGTCGGAACAAGGAAGAGACGCTCTCACTACCACTTGTGAAGTTCAAGATTTAATAAATTTCGATTTAACAGCGCCAGACAAGTGGAAATGATTGCACTTAATATGGCCCAGACGACGAGTACAGCATTGTTATGAATATTCGAAGCCCTGCCCCACGACATTGAGATTCCCAGTGAGAATAACTAGTTTACACTAACCCACAGAGTCCCAGCCACAAACTCCATTCATTCAACCTCACAGCTCCTCCTCATCAATCAGGCGGAGGACTTTGATCCTAGGCCCAGGGACACTCAAAATAAGTTACAGCCCCACCACCTCTCCATTACAAGGCCACGACCTTACAGACTAATCATACAATCCACTTTGATTCAATGGGGAAATATAAACATCTCAAAAACAAATACCGTGTTCTGATAGTTGATGTTCTCACATACAGAGCAAAAACCTTTTTAACTGTACATCAGCTTCCGGAACAGCCACGAGCGATACTACATTACCCAGAATGCCAATCGGTCGTCGCGCATGTGTAAGTGGCTCCAGGTCACGTGCATTCCCCAGTGGCAAATGGGACTACAATTCCCATGAGGCCATGCGACAATCGGCGCATGCGCGGGTGTGCGCTTATTGTGTGAGTGGGGAGTATTGAAGAGAAGATGCGCAGGTAAATGAGGGAGAATAAATAATCAGGGTATTACTGGGTTTTACATATTACATGCTTATTGGTAATGGGACAGCGGTTTCTGGACGATGAAAACACGGTTATTAATTCCGTTCCCGTCTGATGAAGGTCGTTTTCATTGTTGGAAGAAGCCGAGGAACAGAGGGAAATGGCTGCCTATGGGGCTCTTGAAAATAGCCATAATAGAAAAGAGAGTTACAGCATCCCTAACAGTCACATCTAATGCTGTTCAAAATACAAAATGAAACGTTTCGTTTAATGGTAACCTACATATGTATTGAACAGAAGCAAGTTTACCCCAAGGCGTTACTTTCTTTTGTTTGCTCGGACGAATTCTGATGTCGTGCGTTACTATTTGCAATCGATTATGTTTTATTAAAACTTCAAGATTTGCCGATTCCCGGTCATACTGAGTAAATTTTTAACACTTGTGCAGTTTTAGTACCTAAACGCTTTATCTCCATTCAACCTCGATAATTCTGTTCCAAACATTTTCCAGATTGGTCATCTTAAAATAGTTGATCCTGCTTGTTTCTAGCATCTGGAAATTAAAATAAGGGAATGTGGTTGAGAATCTGTTGTGCTAATGTTCGTCAAACGTCAAGGAAGATGCAACTGTAAGTTAAATGCAGTTCTATGTATAAGTCTGACAGTGAAAAGAAGGGGGATGGTTAGTTTAGTTGATTCGTTGTTGACGTTGTTCTGAGCCACAGTATGGGATTTTGAAGTGAACTTGGGGCCTCTCTCCCTTTGGTCCTGGAAGACCATGGTTAAACCATTACTTAGAAAAACTGCCAGGAAAATGGCACAAGATGAAGCATCAGCAGAACCTTTTGTCTTTGTTCAGCGCATTTATGATTGAAAGTGTAGAGAGTGTTGTTAGTGTCTTTGTTCTAAAAGTGAAGATAATGTAATTACTGTAGTACCGATTCATTTAGTGAGTATCCCCACCATATGTTATGTTCCATAAAGCTTATAATAGCCCAATTCAATCAATCCTGGGGTTATTAACATTAGATATTATTTGTTGGTAGGAGTGAGCTTCAGTTTGGGGAAACGATGATAAATTATTAATCCAGAAACTCAGCTAATGTACTGGGGACAAGGGTTTGAATCCCACCAGGGCAGATAGTAGGTTTGCATTCAATTTTTTAAAAATCTGGGATTAAGAAATGTAATGATTCAAGTGCAGCTAGGGACAGGTAATAAATGCTGGCCAGCCAACAATGCTTAAGTAAATTTTAAGACAGATTTCTGAGGAAGGGTCACCAGACCCAAAACGTTAACTTTGACTTCTCTTCGCAGATGCTACCAGACCTGCAGAGCTTTTCCAGCAAAACGTCTGTTTATGTTTCTGATTTATAGCATCCACAGTTCTTTTTTTTTAAAACAGGTATCTTAGGACCAGGGAACAAAAATAATCAACCAGAGTTTCCACTTCTGATTTCTGGAGTGATGCCTGATGAGAGCCCTAGTGTATGGCTATTTGCTGAAAATGGATTAGACTTAGTTAAATGTTTTGTTTTTAATAACTTGCATTTTTAAGAAGGCAATAACAGACGCTGCTGTCTCTGAAAGAGCAAATGATAAATAAATGAAGACTATTTGTGAATAGAACTAGATGAATAAATCACTACAAAAAAGATACACAATTTATTTAAGCAATTAGAAAAATAGTTTTGCTAAATTTATTAAAAGGATCAATCTAGTAAAATAGGGTTTTCCTAATCTATTAGTGGTGTCAAAACCAGGGGAAATATCTTACCTGAATCTATCCTGTCTAAACCTTGAAATATTTTGAGAGTTTAGTGAAATCACTTCATTCCTCAGCACTGTAGAGAATATAGGCTCAGTATTCCCAGTCTCACTTTATTGGATAGTCTGCCTATCTCAGGAATGAGTCTAGTGAACCTTTGTTGCACTCCATCTCTGGAAATTTTTTTTATTACAATTAATAGTAATAAATGTAGTCCAGTGTTGCAGCTTCACGAGATTGACACGTAATTTTTAGTTCTGTCCGATGTTGTTTCTGGCATGGCCTCCTGCCTTGATGGTAATGGTAAATTGGGAGCTATGCTGGGTTACAGATTGTGGTTGCAAAAAATTTTGCACTGCTGAAGGCCCACATGGAGGCCCAGTCTTGAATTGCTAGATCTATTCAAAATCTTTCCCAGGGTGGTACACAACATATAGGACGTATCCTCCATGTAATCCATAATTTAATATATGCCAATGGCTGAACGCAAGAGCAAGAGAAGTTCCTCGTCAGCCATTTGATGTAAAGGAATTGGAGTCTCTACCACAACTATCCACAGCATCAGTTTCCAATATACATGTAGATGTGGACATTGCCACATCAATCTGGACTTCTTGGAAATGCAGACAGGGAGGGAGGTGATAGTTTTGGCAAAGTCTGGATCACATTTCTACCAATAACACTTGTGTTCAATCTCATTTCTACTGTGGATTTGGGTCCTGTTGCCATGCCATCCCTATTGTGATGCTGTTGGTTGGACTTACCTTTGGCAGAGAACTGTTTAAGAAGTAATATTAGAACTTATTTCAGAACTCCAGACAGAACTTAATTTTTTGAATGTTAGCTCAAAAATACAATCGATTGATCTTATTCACTGAGTTGATTAAAAATATCCACGTTAGAACAGCTGAGCAGAAAAATCACATTGATTAATGTCAGTCTTACAGATTAAATTGTGAATGTTTAGCATCTCTTGGCTGTTAGTGAAATACATGCATATTTTAACTTGAAAATATTATTAGAAATGAAGGAAATTAAGTCTTTTGTGAAGCTGAAATAAGGATCTCACTGTTCTGGTTCTTATTGCTAACAGCCAGTGTCCAAATTCAAAAAACATAATAATTGTGGCCTTTTTGCATTTTAATCCTGATGTAATGTGAGCAGTACACCTCTCGTTCCCTTTTAAAATTTAGGGTTAGTAGTCGTATAAGTGGTGATGATGACGTTGAGCCAGAGGAGCTGGAGACAGAAGGAGAGAGGCAATTGCAAAACCTCTTGAAGCACCAGTTAGACACAACCGTAACACTTGAAGAGTGAGTATAGTAACATTTCGTTAGAGTGATGTTTTTGTATGAATAAAACCAAGTAAGAAAGTAATGTTTGTGTACATTTTAATGCATTGTAGTACTTTCAAAATTATGACAAAATGGAAAATGCTGGAAAACTCAGGTCTGTCGGCATCCAGAGAGAAGACAGAATGTTTCTTGTGGAATTCCTTTATGCTGATTGATGTTCCATGCAATTCCAGCATTTTCTGTTTTTACTTCGTATTCCCAATTCTTGATTATTTTTTGTTTTTATTTCTATAGGTATTTAAAGGCTTGCCTTTTTTTTCCAGTTACCTCCAGGTTGCACAAATAAATCCCAATTTAGAATGAAATCTCAAATAAAGATTCAGTCACCTCATTTAAACTTCATTGTGGTTACAGTCTTTTTCGAAGGTTTAAATGGTGAATCACCATAAAGTGGTAATTAATGCATTCAGAGTTCCTGCATTATAGCAACTTTCTCAATTTGTGCTGTTAAACAAAACAAAATGTTATTTTATTTCGAGGCGTTAGTCGCTTTCATTTAGCCCAATTATACTAATCAATGCAATTTTATAGTTTTTTTCCAAAATGTAAGATTACCAAATCATAACCCATAGGAAAATCCTCCATTCCAGATGGCACCAACAAAATGTGTGCCATTTCCTGTAGTATGGGCAGAAGTAGCTGGCAGTGTTACCTTTTAAGATAGTGAAATAATCTGATTATTTAAATTTGCTTACAAATGCAACAGTGTGGTTACAAGTGGGAGTTCACACATTTATGTTTTCTAAGTGTATCTTCGCTTTGGGATAAAATGCAAAAATGAAGGAGTTGTGTGATTTATGAATCCTGCCTAAGAAGAAACGTGTGTGGCTTGGTTGTCAAAGGTTTAAAGGGAGGCTCAGGATATTACTGGGAGGAAGGTGTAAGATGTGGTAAGGGCATCTATGCTGGCTGCGGGTATTTTGTTGGCTCCAAGTTTCACAAGGAGGTTTTCAGAATGAGGTTTTATAAACCGTTGTAATTTAAACTGAATTTCAAGTTGAAATGGAGTTCAGTGGATCTAAGCAATAACTAATCAAACCAGCCATTTTGCAGCAAACAGCTCAGTATATCTTTTCACTTCAGCAAGAGGCCCATATGATTCATATTGCCACGGGGATGGGCTGTGGGAAGAAGAGGTCCATTGGAAGCTATTGTAGGGTCAGGAAGCAGGTTTTTTTAAGGTAGTCCCAAACCCCTAAGATGCAAGAATCTGGGAAAGAACAGTGAGTTTGTTGTGGCCAATTTCTCTTGCTTAACATGCAAAATGCATGTGGGACTTCATACTTGTATTGAAGAGATCAGATTTGAGAGGATTTAAATGAGGCCAGAATGTTCTGATGTAATATAAGCAGTACCTAGCTTTGTTTAGAAGGAGGAATGTTCAGGGTAAGACTCAGGATTGGAGGTTAGCTAGAAAACAAGCATGCCAGCGTGAGCTAAGAAAATGTTTCAACTGGTTCCTGGAGAATGGTGTGCCCGCTTGAGGGATAGAGCAAAGTAACAATGAAGGGGGATTTTAGTTATTTTAAAAGGTGAATAATGGAAACATTAATGTGGCAGCTGAATACTGTTAGAACAATGTTACTGCACCGAACAAGCTAACAGCAAAAGTCTTAAAACCTGAAATCCTATGTGATCGTTCCATGGAGTCACTGAAACACCCACCACCAAAACAGAAATGTTTTGTGATCAGAACATCTCAACAACACTACATTGGTTTGACTTTGTTGAATGAACTTCTACCTCAGGAACAACGATCAACTTGGGTCAATTTTCGTGAGACCCAGCATTATTTCACAAATACCAACATTCTTCGCATAAGAGAGAAATATATTTTTTAAAACAATGTCTTTGACTTATAACGTTCGTAATCATTAATTACTTCTTAGTTGTTCTACCATTTGTTGACTTCATGCAGCTTTTCCTGATTTAAGTTTCCTTTTGTTTTGATAGATGCATTGCTAAGAAAAAATGCTTTGCCCCAAGTTCTTTGTACAAGCCATTTGGGGAGCAGGCAGCAGGAGTACTCAGTCTGTCACAGTTTCAGACTCTGCAAGATGGAGAAGGGGAGGTTGCTGCCCTGAGAGAACTTGGACTTACTGACAGGGAGATCCAGCTCTGGCAAGATAGGGAATCTCTAGTTAAGGTACAGTATACCTAGAGAGCTTTTGTAACCTTATGTAGGGATAAGTAACAATGTGCAATGTTAGCATCCACATAGGTAGCACGTTCATGTGAGGTACTAGTCTAATTGAAAGGGTTCATTCTATTTTGTACCAACAATCTGAGGAATTCATTATCACTGTGTTGAACATTTATACTCTTAATGTTGTACAGTACAGATTTCTCATTTAATTTGTATAGATCACATGAATGTACCTCTGATGCTAAGGAAGAATTTGAGAATTATTCAATTTTACTTCAGTACTTCAAATCTGGAAAGGATGAGCAAACTTTTGCAATGTCACCATCTGTTCTATTCCAGTATGGTTCTTGAGACAGTCCCTAGGAAGATTTTTTAACTTTTAGAATAGTTACAGTACAAAAGACCACTCAGTCCATTTTGTTTGTGCCAATCCTCTGTGAGCAATTAATTTAGTCTCATTCCCTTTTTCTTTGCCCCAGGGATCCAGGATTCTCCAGTCTTCTTGGTAACTAACATCCCTAATCTGTGGAATTATTCTCATAAACTTTTTTTCTGGTCATAAGTTTTATTAAAACTGACAAATGTTAGATTGATGTTCAAGTGCATCCAAAACTTTGGCACTTAACAAAAAGTCAGTTCCTTGAGTGTTAGAACAGTTTATAAGACAGTTCAAGCGCACTTATTAGACAATGCCAGTCAAACACTAGTGACCAATAGGCATGCTGTATATTTAATCAACCTCCTCAATTGCTGGACCAGATGATGCACCTGCACCATAAGGGGCACCACCAGCACTAGGAAAGCCTCTTTGTGGTCCACCAGGCCCTGGGTGGGCTTTGATATATGGGATTGCAGATTTTTTTTCTCCAGCTCCTTCAGTTGGTGCTCATGCTCAAATCGTTTCTGCACCTTTGCTGGTGCCGTCTTATCTTTCCAAATGTTTGGTGCCCAGAATAGACACAATCCTCCAATGAGGCTGGACTGATGTTTTATGAAGGTTATCATATTTTAATTCATTTGTGAGATGTGAGTAGTGGCCAGCATTTATTTGTTCATCCTTAATTGCCCTTGAAGAAGTGAGCCGCCTTCTTGAATAACTGCAGTCCACTTGGTGAAGGTACACCCACAATGCTGTTGAGGTGTTACAGGATTTTGACCCAGAAACACTGAAGAGACAGTGAGAGTTCCAAATTGGGTTGGTACGTGACTAAAGAGGAATTGGCAGGTGGTAGTTTTCCTATACATCTGATGTCCTTATCCTTCCAGTAGTTGGAGTTTTCAGGTTTGAAGGTGCTGTTGAAGGAACTTTGGCATGTTGCTGCAGTGCATCTTGCACTTGCACAGGTGAAGCATCAAGTCTCATCAGTTGCAGATGGAATAAATGTTGAAGTTGTTGGATGTATTCTGTGTCTCTGTTTATAAAGTCCAGGATCCCATGTGACTTATTAACAACATTCTCAATCTGTCCTGCGCATTCAGTGATTTGTGCCTAAACACTTCCAGATACCTTTTGTACTCCTTCAGAATTGTATCCTTTTTTTAATGCCTTTCCTGCTAACGTGAAACATTCCACATTGTTAAATTTCATCTGCCACATGTATGCCCATTCCACCAGAATGTCTCTGTTCTCCAAGTTGCTCATTATCCTCGTCATAATACTTTCACAAAACTTCTCATTTTTGTGTTATTTGCCTATCTTGAAGTTGTGCCCTGTATACCTAAGTTTAAGTAATTAGTATAGGTCAAGACAAGCAGTTGTCCAAGTATCAACCTTTGGGGAACCCCAATTCAGTGATAGTTGAGAGCTGGGTACAAATGGAGAGGCGATAACCAGTTGAGCACAGGATTTGCGGTTTGTAGGTTTATTGTGTGTGGAGAAGAAGTTAGAATCTGATATGTAGCTGATTAAGGAAATGGTCTGGGCCTCAAATTGCTGCAAATGAGTTGCAAGATGGGGAGGTAATGGCCTAGTATTATTACTGGACTGTTATTCTGGAGACCCAGGTAAATTTCTGGGACGTGGGTTTGAATCTTACCACGGCAGATAGGTTTTTATTGAATTCAAATTCCACTATCTGGTTGACTAATGTCCTTGAGGAAGCAAACTGCCATCCTTACCTGGTCTGGCCTACACGTGACCCAGACGCACAGCAATGTGGTTGACTCATATCTGCCACCTGGGCAGTTAGGATGAGCAATAAATGCTGGCCCAGCCAGTGATGCCCCCATCTTGTCAGGGAATTAAAAAATTAAGCAAATGCTGTGGTTCCTTGCCATAGTCATGTTTTTAAGTCAATGCAAGATAACTGTTCATCACAAAAAAAAAATTTATGATGTCAATTTAAAGAAAGGTGGACACAACATCATGATCAAATATGAAGGATCTACAAATTAGAGTCATACAGCACGGAAACAGGCCCTTCCCCCAACTCGTCCATCCCAATCAGGTTTTCTAACTGAACTAGTCCCGTTTGCCTGTATTTGGCCCATAACCCTCTAAACCTTTCCTATCCATGTACTTGTTCAAATACTTGCATTTACCACTTCCTCTGACAACTCATTCCATATACGCACTGCTGTTTATGTGGAAAAAGTTGCCCCTCAAGTCCCTTTTAAATCTTATCGCTCTCACCAAGTTTTGGACTCCTCTACTTAACTGCAGTTCAGTACATCTCCAGTACTACTTCAATATGATCTTGGCTTTAGTGTATATGTCACTCTCTGGTAACGGGCTCTTAAAGAATGTTGTGCTTATAATGTTGTGGCTCAGTTAATATGACAGATCTCTAGTGAATTAAAGAGTAGTTTATAAAACCTAAGAAATTTTTTATAATTTCAGAAAGTTGGAAGGAATATCAGAATGAAGCAATTTTTGACGGGGAGGATGAAAAATTACATCCTGTTCGAATCATGGGGGATAAACGGTTTTGGAGTTTCTCAGTGATTATTGTGATGCTGTCACAGTAAAGGAAAGTTACATACAGTTTGCATTACAACCATCTAAAATCACATTATTACTATTTTAACCAGTTAGCTTTTAGTTACTTATTAGATTGTTTTCTCCTTTTTTCTTGAATTTCCATGTATCACTCTCGAATGAGTATGTGTGTAATGGTCTTAATCCCTGACATCTGATATCAAATGAATCACTGGAAAGTGCATAAGTAACAACTCCTTTTTTTTCATCCCAACGTGTGTCTTAACATCTTTTACGTGTCCCCTTGTTGCATTAAAGCTGAAATTTGGCACTTAGTAGAGGATTAGTGACAGAAGCCCATACTCTGAAAGCCAATTCTGATTGTGTTTAAAGTTCTCAGGGCTTGGAGCAGATCCAGCAGCAGTGCAACAAAGACTCCGAGCCATTGAAGAGAAAATTGAGGAGCGGCAACAACTTATGTCATTGCCACAGAGATTTGCAGGAAGCAAACAGCTGAACAGGAGAGAGATGGAAATTGAAAAAGCAATGTTCCAGGGAACTGACCGTTTCACGTTTTTGAAAGCTCTGTATTACCAAGGTGTAAATTTTTGTTGATAAATAATTTTACTTTTTCTTCCTCTATATTTTCGTTGAATCATTCCCTAGGCAAAAGTGAAAGGAAGCAACCTGTTCTCAAGCTTCTGTTCAGGGAGTTAAGTGAGAAGAGCCTAGTATAAGTTGCCATAATTTTTCCTTGAAAAGAAATAGCTGGCTTCCCAATGAAATGGGTGTGATGTGGAATTTGCCATGTTGGAGCTTTTATTTAATTCTAGTCTTACTTTGCTGTGGAACAGCATATTGGAGCAGTAGAAGCTTTATGACTTGGTATTGTTATCTTTAGTTACAGACATCAAAACCTTTCCTTAAGTTTGGAGGTTCGAAAGCTCTCGTTCTTTGACTTTAGCCACTATTCTGGTCAAATGAATGATTCCTTGTCTGTGCTTTATGAAAATAAAATACTAACAAAGACCTGTTCTATTAATTCATATGATGCTATAATTCTGCTTTGTAATACTTATTGTTCTGTACCCTTGCAGAATATTTGTGACAAATAACTGACAAATTCCAGAGTAGTGGACAGAGAACATGGTACTGTATGACCTTGTGCCAGTAATCGTCTGAATGCTGTCGGTTAATTGTACTTTTTGTTTGTAAATTTTCTTGTTTTCTCCAGTTTTTGTTCCCTGAAATTTCCTCAACATCAGGCTACTGCCCCAGCTACAAGCACAGCCTGGAGACCTGCTTCAAGTGCTCTGCCAAAGTCACTCCATAACTTGTCACTGGAGGTGGGCAGACTGATTTCTGTTTTTTTTTCATTTCCCTAGTTTCACTTTTTATGACAACAGCATTGAGATTTCGAATCCACCATCTGGGAAATTGAAGGTGTAAATCTATGTCCTACTACTTATAGTGTAGTACACTGTTGCTTCAAGCATTTGCTTGTTTTTAATAACTTTATAGGCTTCCTATCTCAGTTAAGACATCCTGTAGAGGACGTGAGCAGAGGTGAGGCTGTTTCTCAGCAGGAGAGAAAACAAATTTGAGTTTAAGTCATAGGTGTGATTTTCAAATGCTGGTTTTAAAATGGTTTTGAGGAGATCTTGGAACAGGTTACTGGCTGAACTCCTGATTAGGGAATGATGTGTGATGTGGAGGACATAAAACAGCTTGTAACATGATATGGTAGGAACTTCTGAGTTGGCTGCTTCTAAATGAGGCAGCTTGTGTTTTCTTCTGATGATTTCCTCACTTCACATGTATCTCTGCTTGCCACTAATGTCTGGCTAAATATTGTTTTGTTTTGCTTTCCTTCTGAATACTACTAGATTCCCTGTCCATTCAATGGGCTCTGTGATGTGGTTGATACTCAACTATTTAAATAAAAATTTTAGATCATTATTGTGGTCCAACTGTAGTGAGCATCCAGATGAATTTTGACCTGTGTTTATATTTTGGATCGTACACGCTTACTTGGATCATTTCTAATATTTATCACACTGTAGCACATATATTTTTTAATCTGCTTTGCATTTTTTATTATTCTAAATTCATCCAATACTCAATTGTGGCTATTTCCATTTTCTAAATTGGATAAAATTTTGAATTATGTATGGTTACCCAGGTTAATATGTGCACAAATTAAATATTCTTTCACTATGTCATTCTAGTCTTTACCTGCTGTCAATTTCACCTGGATGTAGCAGAGTAATTAGAAATTATTTAGTCAAATGCATTGTGGTACAAAGAATCCAAAATTGTCTTGTTTTAATTGTGTATTATTGAATTCCAATTCTGCTTGGAAGCCAACAGTGGCACCACAGTAGTTGAATTGAGATTTCCTTTTGACTTCAGCTGCATTGAGGGGCGGTAGTATCATCCTTGGGCGAGTACATCTGATGAATGTCGTCTTGACCGTAGGATAGTTTTGACTTAAGGAAATGCGGCGTGCTACTGGCTGGGGTGGCGTTTGGGGGATCTAGTGTAAGAAAATGTCCTAATCAAAGTGTTCTCTTTGACACAATCATTTACTTTTGTCTTATCATTTTTTTTTTGAACATAATTTGCTTTTTCTCACTTCAGATGAAAAGTCTGTAAAAGACCAGAATGACCCTATTAATCAATTAGAAATGATGTTATCAAAGTTTAAAAATGACTCAGCCGGAATGGGAGACACTCCAAAAACCAGACAAGAGTCGTCTTCGGAGATGCTCGCTACAGCAACAAGTAAAGAGGGTACCTTTAAGGAAATGACTGGTCTATGTTTTCAAACACAAAGTCAGTTCAATGCTGCTGATCATTATGAAAATCAGAGCTCCAAAGGGCATTCAGTGAATGTTCCTATTAGAACCCTACCCAGCACTGGTACTCATGGTCCTCAGAAAATTACCCAGCAAGTCAAAGCTGTCCCCAAAGAAGAAATCTGGAAGAACAAGCTGTCTGAGGAGGAAATTAAAATGATTCCAAGATTTTCAAATTATAATCCTGGACAACCAAGCAGGGTATGGTAAAATATTTACTGTTGGAAAAGTATTATGAGCATAATAGCTGAGGAATAAAAATGTCCATTTCTCACTATTATCTAGGATGGAAGTGAAATGTAAGGCAGGTTATGTTGATGCTCTGTAATATAGTTCAAAACCTATTATGACCAATTGCAATATCCAGTGACTCGACTGAAATAATCTGTCGCTGTGTTCACTCTTTTTAAATATATTTTCA